CAATGCAGTGTGAAAGCTATGAAAACGCAGTATAAAGTAAAAAAAAACCAAAAGATAAATAATAAAAGAATTGAAAAAAGTGTTTGTGTGGTCTCGCCCCTTTTTAGTGGTGCAAAATTTTACATGAATTCTATTTACCAAAAAGTAATTAAAAAGAGTTAAATTGGACTTTCCCTCCGGTTAAAAAATAAATAAATACAAATCTGTTTTCAATAGTTTAGCCCTGAAAACAAGAAACTCACCAAGAGAAAACAATTCCAATATAGCCAGCCAGTTAACTGAACACTAAAAAAAAAAGCCACCGCCTGCCCATTTGCGCTTTTGCAGACAACATCCACCGTTGCAGCGGCCATAACTTTGTTTCTGCTATACGTTTTTATGCGTGTGCGTTTGTCGATGTCCTTTGGCTCATTTCTTTGCATTACTCCCACTTTTAATGCTTTTCTGCCCTCTCCGTATACATATGTAGTACATTTGTACATACATTTTCCATGTCCGTACATACATGCTTATGTATATTCTGCGAATTATAACTCAATTATGCATACTTTGCACTGCACTGCATAGCATATAATTTTTACGTAGAAATGCTGTACGTTGGGTAATGGCTCACTGCACTGCATAGCATGCCACAACAAAGTGAATGTAACGCTGTGCCTTGGGTAACCGCTTCACGTAAAGCTCATTCAACGAATTCCTTTTTGACAACTCTCATGCAATGCCAAGTACGCATAACTGTGCCATTAGACGCTGTAGAAGGTCTTTGTTGTTCATTTTTGTTTTTGTTGTTTCGAACCACACTATTCCCGCTTTCTTGTTGGCTTGTCTGCTTCTACACACAAAGTTTCGGCAGGACTTGAGAATTGCTAATTTCTGACGCCGCAAATCGCACCGGCATTTAGATACCTACCTATATAATGTCATATCTTTGGGCAGAAATTCAAGTATTTTTGTAAAGACTTTGTCTTCTAATATTTCGTTATTTTTATTTGGTAGATATAGTTAGCATTTAACTCCAAAAAATCATTTAACACATCCCTTTTAGAGAAAGTTTAAAACAGTGTTCGGCTCTTTGAATGGCGCAATTTCATAAAAGCAGATAAATAGATACTATACATTTCCTTATGTTTGAATAAAAGTACATTTTCTATTGACGTCGAGTGAACGGGTATGGATTCCTGTGCTATTGGTAGCTTTTGATTGAAGGACATTTATTGTTGTGGATCCTAGGTAAGTTAACTAAAACCTTGTTCCAGGTATTTCAAGATTTGCAGGTTTTACAGGAAAAGCTGTTTTCGTCGTTAATAAACCATTTGGAAGCTGTCGACGGGGAACAACTTGCTGTAAAAACCTGCTAATCCCGAAGCACCTGGAAGACACTATATTTTATAGCATATATCGATGGCTGAGTGGAAGATCGACCTATCTCGGCTGCCAGTTCGAAAACGCTCTATCTCAAAAAACTTTTCAAGAACGCCCTTTTTCAGAATTTTATTGAAAAACACCCTATCTCAAAATTCAGTTCAAAAACGCCCTATCTCACTTCAAAATGTATTGAAAATATGCTGTTATAGGGCGTTTTTTGAATCGGCAGCTGAGATAGGGCGTTTTGAAACGAATTCTGAAATAAGGCGTTCTTGAAAAGTTTTTTGAGATAGAATGTTTTCGAACTGGCTTCCGAGATAGGTCGATCTTCCACTCAGCCATCGATATGTAAACATGCTGCCAATATACAACATTCCAAACGATATTGTTCGTAACTTATGTAATAATTTTAATTTAAAATAAAGGTTCAATCCATTATACAAAAAGAAGGTAGTTCAATAAACATATGTTTGATTAAAAAGCAGGCGATAATCAATTTAAGTCTTTTTGTGGAGGGGATTTTATGTACTTATACATATATTATCATAAATTTGGGATTATAAATAGAATGGTTGTATTAACATTAACTTTTAAAAAGCATTATTATTTTATCGTAAAAATGTTTAATTTTCTATTAAATTTGATAAGCACTTGAGCAAAATAAAGATTTTGGTATTTTTAGATAAATAAAATTTTAGTGAACATACATACATATTTAAGAAAAATTTAGTGTCCTTATGTCATCTGATTGTTTCGCAATGCAGCTACCAGCACTGTTACAGTTTTCTATATCGGACACGTTTGTTTATGATATAGTACAGATACTGAAATTACACTTTTCGATGTGTTATTTAATACACATTGCCCTTTGTCCAATTGGCATCTACTTTGGGGCCCATGGGCCTCTTGACCTTCAGAGAAGTGAGTATTATCCATTTCAAGTATATTTTGATAATATCGTTGTTCCTTTGGGTAAAAATAAATATATTTTACAGTTCAATATTAGAGGGGGTGTGAAAAAATTGATGATTTTCTGTTAGTATGCAAACTAGAACTAAGTACAATTATCAACTTATTGAGTATTAGCACTCTCCCAAAAACAAAAGGGGAAATTTTTTTATTGGTGCCTTGGTTGTGTGGTGGGGAGGCGGATGGGGTGTGACACATAAAACACCATCCATTAGAAAGAGAACAGTCGAAACTTTATAAGAAGAAAAAATAACCCTCATCAGTCCCAACACCGGCTGCGCTGACCACAGTATTTTTTTTTTACAAATTTTAAATCTCTAGTTTAAACTAACGTTTTATCGTTTGATCACACGTACATATCAACATTTTTGGACTCGGGTTACGCGCTTGGACACAACCCAAAATTATTATACCTTTTGCTTGTTCAAATTTCAATTATAATAAGCGGCATACACGGTGCGTCTAACTCGCGAGTCGGTTGGGATGTGTTTGTTACACCGATATGACTCCGCCATTACTATGAATGACTCAATGTAGTCGAAAAGCGAGTCAACATGCACGTACACAAATGCCTCACGAGGTAGACGCACCGTGTATGCCGCCTATAAGAAGAAATAGGGATCCTCATCTAAAGGCTGCGTTTCTTACTACGTTCCGGATAATCCCATTTCACAGCCGGAATAAACAGAATGCGTTTGAAATATACATACGTCAACATATCATCAGGAACGTTCTAAAGAATAAAAAAACAAAAAATGTATTCCAAACGTTCAGAATGAATAAAGAAATGCAGCCAAAGTGATTAATGGGATAAATTCCTAAATTTATCAGTTTATCCACATTCTTACATGAACGCACCCTGGTAAATAATTGCATAAAATTGTTTATTATTTAACTTATATGGCTAGTTACGTTAATTTGTTTTTTATGTGTTCTTACCAAAATCGATCACCAGGAAATCTGCCAGGGTTGAATTTTGCTGAAATTTATACGTTTATACACCAAAATCGTTTGATAAAGTGGACAAATTTTGGTTAAATAAATTTCCATACAAAGTTTGACAGTTCATTTATAAAAAAGTTAATTTTATCATTTTATGAAGTTTATCAGCAGTTTATCGCTTTTGATGATGTTTTTAAATAATGGTGATTTCGTTTCTACCAAAAAATTTTGCCTTTTGATTGAACCTTTCTCTTTTCTTGTTCGATTCTAAATTAAAGGCAAAGGGCGATACAATTTTGTGGCCGTTTCTTAAAATGTCACACTCTTGTAAGGCAAAAAAAGCACATTCTCTGCCCTATGAAGCTTTGTCAGGGGAGACAGTTGTCCTGAAAATGAGATGGTTGCTTAAAACGACAATATTATGAAATGCGGGCGCTAGACAACAACAAGAAGGCAAAAACGTGCCTTTTTACAGGGTTGAGTGTAACATCAAACACATTTTGCATCGGGGCAAGGCAACATTTCTTGGAAGAAAAGAAAACACCAAGAAGAATTAACAAGAAGACAAGAATTAACAAAATTTGAATGATTTTAGATATTGGGTATACATAGTAGGACGAAATGTCATAATCTGCTTAATTGTCAGGTTGTTAATGCAACGCGACAATGGAACTACCTCGTTTTTTGTATCATGGTTCAATCTATAACAGAAACCACATAAATAAACGTTTCAAAGATTGCACAAAGTGCACAAAAATTAATCCAACTTGAAAAATGCATAAAATTTCAAATTTGTTATTAAGAATTTTTATAATTTTTTTTTCAAGTATGCAGTTTGGAAGCCATTCAATTTTAGTATGATAAAGTGCTCTCTATAAGTATGAGCTTAAATAAGTCTCAATATGAGTTTGGACTATTTTAAAACAATTTTTGGGAAATTTCAAGTACCTTGAAATTAACTTTGATTTTTAAGATTTTTTTTTTTTTGTAGAGTGTGTTGAGCATTTTCTTCCTTATAACGTATGAATTCATTCCAAGACAGCATTTTTCTTAAACGATTATAGAGCTACATTCGGGTTTTCAACACGATGCTCCGAATTCAGAATTCTCTTTAACTTTACTAGAGTATTACTATGAATATCCAGCGCTTGACGAAGCCGAGAGATGACGGAGTATGACAATTTGATGAAAGCAAGTTGAAAATACATCACCTCTTTATCTGATATCCTGATCCAGTTTGTCACATAGGGCTCAACGCACTGATAACAACCATAAACAAATATGTATGTGAAAATTTAGTAGTAATTAGCGAAAGACTGCACTGCAGATGTTAGACAAATCTTTGGCGTTCCCACTGCTTGCGCATCTATCTGATTGTCGTTTGCTGAGGCAATTGCACTGGCTGCTCATCTTTACAAGTAGCAACGGACATAATCATAAATAAAGCCTATGCATTGTAAAAAATTCATTTTAATCGCACAAATATAAAGGCAAAACACTTGTGTACGTAGCACTTAATAATGCGTTGCATCAAATAATAATGGTGTCATAATGTCACTTTTTTATATTTTATTTTATTTTTGTATCTATTTAGTATACTCTTGCCGCCACTGGCGCTGCAGTCGCTGTTGTTGCTGCTACTCCTATAATTGAGCTCGTTGTTATTGCAGTTGTAGACGAATGTGCTCTTGTAGAGTTTGTAAATTAATTCAATCAAGAGCGGCCCAAATACGAGAAGCCGAAGAAAACGTATGAAGAAAATGTAGAAAATAATATGCGTGTATAATAGCGTTTACTGCAGCTAGTAGCAGAGCATACAAAGTATCTGTGTTTGTTGTTGAGGCGTTTGACGTTATTATTTGTGTTTTTTTTTAAATTCTTTTTCTTTAAAATTTCATCTCTAGGTACTCTTTGCTGGTACATACAGCTGCTGTTGTTTTGGTTATTGCTGTTACTTTGCGTATCAATAAATAAGTCAATGCACTATTGTTCAAATGAACTGAGAGTAAATATATATAGCTGCTTTATTTTGTTTATGCGTACACATATGTATGTATGTACATTTATTTGTGTTCTTGTCTTTATTGGATTTACTTATAAGCATGTACATATGCACTATTTAGGTTTCTATTTAGTAGTTTGATCGTAGTTTAGTTGTAGCGCTCTTGGATATTGTTTTTGTCAGTGGTGAAACGCATTTCAATTTGATTTTCATTTTAACCCTTGTGCTTGACCCTGTGCTTTGGACATGACCTCATCAGCCGGAGATCTTCATAGCTCAAGGCTTAGTCATACAAATCAAATATCTCCCAGAATATATCGGTGAAGTTATAGCCAGGGTTTCTAGGGCTTTCCCTCGAAAGGTTTTCTATGTGCATCTTTTCCATATTTTATACTCGCAACAACGAGTTTTTTGCGGACTCGGTAAAAATTTTATTATAATGAGTTTATAGTTTTATCGAGGTTCGTTATATCGAGGTTTCACTGTACATATAATTCGATTTATTTAATGTTTTTTGTTCATACGTATTCTGTTACTTGCCTCTCAGATATACCTCTACTCTATGTATTAGTATTTTTAGAATAGCTCTGTAAGCGACATTAATTTTAATTTTAATAAGTGTTTTGCTTCTTTAAAATTTCAAAATTTGTCACATGCAGTTGTCCAAAAAATAATAGGAGTGCGATATTTTGACCAGTTTTATTAAATGTTTATTACATTTTTATAAAAGTCTAGCTGGCTATACAACAAACACTGTTCACAGTGGTCCGAAAAGGTCCAGATAAAGTCCTGAAAAACGCCGAAACGTAAAACACGAAGAATCCCGATAATTAAAACCCGAAAGATGCCAAAATGCAACACATAGAATCCCGAAATATTAAAAAAAATCCCAAAAAGCTTGGAAAATAAAAAAGGGAAAACACCAAAAAAATATCACGCAGTATCCCAAAAA